CACACCTTTGGTAGGGTAAGGGGGGTCGGATGTACACAATCTTACCCTTGTACTAAAACACAGAGAAACTGTTTCCGGATGACCCATAGCAAAGCTAAAAAGGATAAAAAAGATAAAACAAAGATAAAAAAAGATAAAAAAAAGATATGATAAAGATAAAAAGGATAAGATAAAAGGAGTTAAAAAGATTAAAAAAACATAAGAAAGATAAAAAGATGAAATGACATCTGTTAAAGATATTGCAGCTGTATATATGGTCAATCAAAGTAGATTATGTTAGAGATCTGTTACAGCAGTATATATGCATAATTAATGTAGATTCTAGTCATTAAGTATAGAATATACACTTTCCTAGATTAGCTATTATACTCCTGTATATATTCAGCATTCTTTGTTTGTTTGAGATATAGAAAACATTTCCATACTTCTCGATTTACATGGTATCAGAGCCTATGCTCAGGATGCTTCCCTGATTTTATAGCTGTCACCTGTCACCCGTGAAACCCTAGATCAGCTTTCACCCGTTAACAGTCCAGCTCTGTCAAAACAGATCCCTAGCTTCCGTCTATCCAGAATGGGAGATGGGAGATGGTGCAAAACCAAATGATGTTATAGTCCCTGGAATTATTAATTATTCAGCTGCTCTGAAAATACCAGTTAAGCTAAACTCAACTAATTGGGCACAATGGAGTATGTTCGTTCAGACTGGCCTTGAAAGCTTGGAAAAAGATGCATATCTGAACAAAGATCCTCCTGATCCTAAAACTCGAGAATGGAAGCTTGATGATAGTGGAATCAGGATGGCTTTGTGGAATGCTATGGAACCTCAAGTTTTGAGTATTGCTCAAAATTATCCTACCACAAAGAAGATGTGGGAACACTTGCAATCCTCCTTTTCAGCAAAAGAGTCTATTTCCCACACGTACTCTGTGTTTGGATCTTATTTCAGATGTGAGCAAGGTGACTCAGACCTTACTGAATACTATACGAGGCTGTCCAAATTAGCGGAGGAGCTGCGTGTTCTTTTCCCGGTAACTCCAGATGTCAAAGTTCAGGAGGAGCGGTTAACAAAAATGGATGTGATGACGTTTATTTCAGGGCTACCTCCCAAGTACTCAAATTCTCGTCCTTTGCTCCTGAGTCACACTGCCTCTCAATCTCTAGCCTCGACATACCATCTTGCACGGGAAATGTATCCGGACAGTTCAGTAACACAATCATCTACTGGTACAGATGCATCTGCTTTTACAGCTTTTAATGCCCGAAATAATGGAAAAGTAGTGAATCGGAAGTATAATCCCAATAAGAAGATCCAGTGTCATTACTGCAAAGAATATGGACACACCAAGTATAATTGTCCAAACCGACCGCCTGGAGCTTATCCACCCCCGCGTCCTCCTCATGCTCAAATAGCATCCATTGATGATACAATAGAAGTTTACCCTGAAGCTTCTGGACAGGTAGCATCAACTCCTCATGCTAATACAGCACACTCAGGTATATCTTCAACTTGTCTTTCTGCTTGCTCATCATCCTGGATTATTGATTCTGGTGCAGATCATATGACTGGGAACAAAAACCTCATACTCAACCTAGATACAAGTATAACTGACAACACTGTTAAACTTGCTAATGGTTCTTCCTGTCCAATTATGGGCATAGGATCCACCAATAATTTACCAAACCTAAACTTGTCATCTGTTCTTTATGTTCCTACCTTTCCAGATAGCCTTATATCTGTTAGTCAGCTTACCAAGAAGCACAATTGTTCAGTAACTTTCTTCCCTACACATTGTGTTTTCCAGGAACTAGGGACGAACCGGTTGATTGGCACAGGTTTTGAGTCTCAAGGCCTATATCGCTTTTCTGCTCTACAGTCTCCTTCGGCATACTTAAGTGAATCCAGTGTTCGTGAAGCTCATTGTCAGCTTGGTCATCCTTCTTTACCTGTTCTCAAGCAATTTAGACCAGATTCTTCACCTTTTAATGAGTTCTTTTGTGAGTCATGTCAGTTAGGGAAACACACCCGTCGTCCTTACCCCCCTAAAGAATCTAAACGTGTCAGTACTTTATTTCACTTAATTCATTCAGATGTCGGGACCTTGTCCAGTTACTTCAATAAATGGTTTTAAATACTTTATTACGTTTGTTGACGATTATTCCCGTGCAACTTGGGTTTACTTGTTTAAATCAAGAAATGAAATATCGGTTATATTTCGTGAATTTTATGCATATGTTGAAACCCAATTTGATAGTTGTATAAAAACACTTCGATCTGACAATGCAAAAGAGTATTTCTCTTCTGATTTCACACGTTTTTTATCCGAGCATGGTATTATACATGAATCATCATGTCCGTACACACCCCAACAGAATGGCATTGCTGAACGTAAAAACCGTCATTTGTTGGATGTTGCTCGCACTATGATGATTCATTATAATGTGCCCCAACGTTTCTGGGCTGACGCGGTCCTCACAGCAAATCACCTAATCAACCGCATGCCATCCTCCGTTCTTTCTGGAAAAATACCGTTTTCTCTTCTATTTCCCAAAGGCACCCCCTTTCCTCTGCCTCCTAAGATCTTTGGTTGTGTATGTTATGTCCATGATCACTGTCCAGGGCATAACAAACTTGATCCACGAGCCATCAAGTGTGTCATTCTAGGGTACTCACGAGTCCAAAAAGGTTATCGTTGTTATTCTCCAACCCTTCGTCGATATTTTACTAGTGCTGATGTTACTTTCCACGAGTCACGTTCATTCTTTGATAGCACCACTAACTCTTTTGAGTCATCATATATATTCCCAGATAATTCTGAAAATGTAGATCCTCCGGTCTATATCACCCCTATACAAACATCACACAACTCGTCTCCCACTTTACCATTAGATACAGATACTCAATTCACAAAAGTGTACACCAGGCAACGAAGGAAAGCAACACAGAACCAAGAGAACTCAACCTTGTGCCATGAAGCCAGAAACTCTCATGTTCCAGGACCTCATCCTAATCCAGAACCGCAATCTGTATCTGAACATCTCCCTTCCAAACCTTGTGACCCACCTGGAGCACCTCTTTCTGACCTTCCAATTGCCTTACGAAAGGGTACCAGGAGTTGTACCAGATATCCTATTCAAAATTACCATGCCTACTCTCACCTTTCACCTAAAGCATATGCTTACCAAACAACCATTGATAATCATCGTGTTCCCAGGAATGTAACTGAGGCCTTGAATCATCCTGGATGGTTTAAAGCAATGAAGGAAGAGATGGATGCTCTACAGGAAAATCAGACTTGGGATTTGGTTCAGCTTCCTCTCGGAAAGCGCACAGTTGGTTGTAAATGGGTTTATACAGTTAAACTTCATCCTGACGGCTCATTGCATCGATTGAAAGCCCGATTAGTCGCCAAAGGTTACTCTCAAGCATATGGGATTGACTATGACGAAACTTTTTCCCCGTAGCCAAGATGACATCTGTTCGTATTTGTATTTCTCTAGCTGCAGTCAATCATTGGCCACTTCATCAGTTGGATATCAAGAATGCCTTCCTTAATGGCTTTCTTGAGGAGGAGGAGGTATATATGGAGCAGCCCCGTGGATTTATAGTTAAGGAGGAGGCATCTAAAGTATGTTGACTGAGACGTTCTTTATACGGACTCAAACAATCTCCTAGAGCATGGTTTGGACGTTTTTCAGATGTCCTTCAACAGTTTGGCATGACCAGAAGCTCTCAGGATCATTTCATGTTCTTTAGACATCATATGGGGTGACGACTCATTCTTGTAGTTTACGTGGATGATATTATCATCACTGGAAACGATAGCAGCGGAATTTCAGAATTGAAAGAGTTTCTACAATCACAGTTTCAGGTCACAGATTTGGGACGCCTTCGTTACTTTCTTGGGATAGAAGTCTCCTCGTCTCCAAGGGGAATTCTTTTATCTCAACGGAAGTATGTCATTGATATGTTGACTGAATGTGGCTTGCTAAGATGCAAACCGGTGGACAGCCCAATGCTTACAATAGGGAAACTTCTTGAAAAGGATGGAAGTCCTATGAAGGATCCAAAGCGTTACAGGAGACTAGTCGGGAAATTGAATTATCTAACGGTTACCCGGCCTAACATATCATTTCCGGTAAGTGTCTTGAGCTAGTTCATGTCTGATCCATACACAGTCCATTGGGATGCAGCTCTTCATGTTTTGAGGTATCTCAAAGCCACACCGGACTTAGGAATACTCTATTCTGATCAGGGTCATTGTCAAGTAGGTGCATTTACAGAAGAAGGAGAGGGCAGGATATCGGAGTTTTCGGATGCGGATTGGGCTGGCTATCCTATTTCCAGAAGGTCAACTACTTGATATTGTGTCTTTGTTGGTGGAAATTTAGTGTCCTGGAAAAACAAGAAACAACACATTGTCTCTCGATCAAGTGCAGAGTCAGAATATAGAGCCATGGCAGATGTTTCATGTGAAATGATATGGGTTAAAAGATTACTCAAAGAGCTTGGAGTGTATTCTAATAATTTGATGAGGCTTTATTGTGATAACCAGTCCGCTATTCATATAGCCAAGAATCAAGTGTTTCATGAGAGGACCAAACACATTGAAGTTGATTGCCACTTAATCAGAGATCATGTGGTTGGCACACAATCAAACCCTCCATCAATCATACCGGTGCATGTCAGGACTAAACATCAACTCACAGACATTTTTACAAAGCCACTCCGTAAATCACAGATAGATTTTATTTGTAGCAAGTTGGGCATGATTAATATCTTTGCTCCAACTTGAGGAGGAGCGTTAAAGATATTACAGCTGTATATATGGTCAATCAAAGTAGATTATGTTAGAGATCTGTTACAGCAGTATATATGCATAATTAATGTAGATTCTAGTCATTAAGTATAGAATATACACTTTCCTAGATTAGCTATTATACTCTTGTATATATTCAGCATTCTTTGTTTATTTGAGATATAGAAAACATTTCCATACTTCTCTATTTACAACATCAATCTTCCACACGAATATTTTGCCTCCACTTCGCTCTTCTCCAAAGTCATACTTTCAACTAACTCAAGAAGTAGCATTCACTCCTGATTCCTCTAATATACATTCATTTAGATCTTCCTCTCCCTTTCATTGTCGTCTCTTCTCCCCGCTTCTCAACTCGTCTAAAAGGAGTATCACTTGATCTTCTACGCACATGGTCAAACCAAAAGATAAAGATAAAAGAGAAGATAAAAGGATAAAAGAAATAAGATAAAGATAATAAAAATAAAGAACATAAGATAGATAAAAAAGATGAAGATCACTCCTTATTTTACTATCAATAGAAATTACGGATGGACTGACAGATAGATAAAACAACAACATTACCTACGGTGGGGCAAGAGGGGGTCAGAAGTATGCAGCCTTACACCTGTATTAAATCACAAAGAGACTATTTTTGGATGACCCATAATGAAAAACATAAAGAATTTAGTGAACCATTTTGCTTTATTCCATCATATTTCCAAGTCGAAAAATATCTAACCTTCGGCTCCATTGGAAATGATGGGAATAAATAAATAAGTAAGTAAGTAAATAAATAAATAAATAAATAAATAAATAAATAAATAAATAAATAAATAAATAAATAAATAAATAAATAAATAAATAAATAAATAAATAAATAATAAATAAATAAATAATCGATCGATCGATCGATCGATTGAATGAATGAACGAATAACTAATATGTGCATAATTATCATGGCGTATGACAACATTCATGGCGTATGACATTTTTCCATGGCGATGGCGCATTTATGGCATCGTCAAATGACAAATAAATTAACTAAAAATATTAGCTATAGACACTATAATCCTATCACTCGGCCACCAAAATTTGATAAAAAAAGTGGAATATCAACACTCTGACCAAAACATGTGAAGTTCTACCCAAAACCACCTCAAACGACGAATTTCACACGGCAGTTCCGGTCAGGAGCTCCTACTATGAACTGCTCCTAGGAGTGGACTCGGGCCGGTTCGGGCCCGGTTCAGGCCTGGGCCCGGCCGGGCCTCGGTTCAAGAAGGGGAGGCCCGGAACCGGCCCGGGTAACCCCCGGGTCCGGGCCGGGCCTCGGGTATATTTTTTTTTTTTTTTGGGCTTTTCCTAGTTAACCCCCACCCCTCCCCCTCACCCCCAAACCAACCCTAACCACCTCAAATGGCCCAAAATAACCAGCCCAATCCAAAAACTCAAAAAAAATCCAAAACAAAAAAAAATTAAAATTGGCCCGGCCCGGGCCCGAACCGGCCGGGCCGGTTCACCTTTTGAAGGGCCCGAGCCCGAACCGAGAATCCACCGGGCCGGGTGGCCCGAACCGGCCAACGAACCGGTTCCCGGGCCGGTCCGGACCCGCACAGTGGCGGGCCGGTCCGGTTCCGGGCCGGTTGGCCCGGCCCGAGTCCACCCCTAACTGCTCCCCCCTTCCTCTCTCTATACACACACAAACATTCTGATGCAAAGTGAGAATAAATTTTGTGCATTCAATTCAGGATCTAATGCATTAAAATAAACCAACAATGCACATAAAAAAAGCGGTGGCGATTTTGTAAATAAACCAAGTTTTCTGCCACTGCAAAAAAGTGCAACATAAACATGAATAGTGCATCGCATTGAACGAAAAGTGCAAGCGCTCGCACTTTGCACGGTAACACAACTTTTTATTTGAACTATCTCTCTGTATATACTCCCTCTGTCCGTCCCGAAATGAAGTGCACAGTTTGACTAACACAAAGATTAAGAAACTATATAAATTTACAATGAGTTTACCATTTGCCCTTTTCCTAATAAATTAGAGAACAAGACTAAAAAGTGGAAAGTAAAATTCAAAAGACGGTACATTTCTCTATTTCACGGTACATAGATAGCCACGCAGGTAACATTGGCAATTCTTAAAGGATGTATGCCTACAAGCTAAATAACTGCCACCGGTGGGATCGGATGGTCACAGGGTCACTAGCTAATAGCAAAATGCAAACGAACAGACAGACCCGCTAGATCTCCTCTAGTATAATCATCTTCGGAAAGACGCAAATTTGACGGACATCAAAAGGACGGCGAAGATAGCGATGAAACAATTGATGCCGGGGCATTGGTTGGAGTGAGGATTTCCTCCGCCGGAGCGAGCCATATGCTAAGAATCGCGTCGGACCACTGCTAGAAACATGCAAGAGTCAATTTTCAGGGAGAGAAGCTGAGAAGGGGTGTTGATGGGGGAGAAGACGGAGAACAAGGGAGAGAAGCCGGGAAGAACTGATGACCAATAGAATAGGAGAGAGAAAATAGGGTGCAGGGAACTTGATAAGATATGTTGGGTGGATTAATTCCTCGACAACTAGGTGTGGGAATAGAAAATGGATAAGATAAAAGTAAGGGTAAAATTGACACTTTTTCTATATTTCATACTTAAAATAGAAAGTGTAAAATCATTCTAGGACGGCCAAAATAGGAAATTTTGCAAAACAAATTGGGACGGAGAGAGTATATAATAATGAGCTTTTTAGGTAGTTCTGAAGGAAACCCATTGAAGTTGATTGACACTTAATAAGAGATCGTGTGGTTGGCACACAATCAAACCCTCCATTGATCATACCGGTGCATGTTAGGACTAAACACCAACTCTCAGACATATTTACGAAGTCACTCCGTAAATCACATATAGATTTTATTTTTAGCAAGTTGGGCATGATTAATATTTTTGCTCCAATTTGAGAAGGAGCATTAGAGATATGTTACAGTAGTATAAATGCTCAATCAAAGGAGATTCTGTTAGAGATATTTTACAGCAGTATATATGCTCAATTAATGTAGATTTTAGTCATTAAGTATAGAATATACACTTTCCTAGATTAGCTATGATTCCCACAATTCTTTTGTATATTAATATTTAGATTTGCTATCAGAAATAATGAAATAGTCATTTTTGAAATTCGAAAATCCTCGCTAAAAAGGATTGATTTTGAAATGGTGATCGCAGCACAGATCTATAGTTTTATTCAGCAACTCTCATGCTCAGATAAACGTATTCTTGGACAGAGTAGAAAATTCGGGCCTATCACGGTTTCTTCGGTACTTGACAGTACAGGTTGTTATGTGAAGATTGCTAAAGATAAGTGGAGTCCAATTCTAGTCCCCAAGGGCCCACACAATTCAAAGCTCAATGAGTTTTTGACATTATTTTCTAATTTTGTTGGATTGTCTAAATTAGAGCAGGAGGAACACAGGGATTGGGAGCATGAGACTTTGGCTGATACTGAGGATATAACCATTTCCAAACTCAATTTTAATTATGAAGTGCAGAGAGCCTACATCGGGAAGCAACAACCCCCTCCCTTGAGAAACAACCACAATTCCACTTCTTCAGGCTTACTCTGATGCCTCGGATAGCTTTGACTATTCCGATGAATCTTTCTTCTCAGACGATTTTCTAGGGCATGCAACCGAAAGCGATCGTTGCCCTCCGTTATCAAACCAGGAAGAAATTGGGAACTCCAAATTCAACAGAAGAATTTGCCGCAAAGCAAAGCTTGTCACTTCCGAAAATTGTTTGCCGACAGAGAACCTGAACACGCAACTAAAACTTTACAGGAAATCTCAGCAAAACAAAAGGCGACACAGTATGCGGACTAGATCACAGTCCAGAGATTTCCCTTGGGTTTAGTTTTCGTTTTTATTTTATTTTATCTATTTTGTTACCGTTTTTCTCTGTATTTTTCCTTTTTTTTGTCTTCTTGTTCTGTACTTTTTCTTTTATATGAATAAATCGTTCCCTTAAAAAAAAGAGTGTCAAAAATATTTAGCCTTAAAAAAAATATTAATATACTCTTGTATATATTCAGCATTCTTTGTTTAATTGGAACACAGAAAACATTTCCATACTTCTCTGTTTACACCGCACTACCTATTGGGGCACTCCTTTGTGATCAAAACTGATCATTATAGCCTCAATAATTTTTTGAGGCCACACATTACAACTTACCCCAAGCAACATTGGATGAGAAAGCTCCTTGTTGTTCAAGTTTAATAATTCAGTTGTTTCTTATTATTTGTCTATTATTATTAGAGTTGTAATAGCATTATAACTCTGTTTCCTTTCATCTTTGGGATTTTTTTGTTTATATAAGGATATTAGTTGGAAGAATATGATTATCTTTTTGGCAATTAATCCATTGTACGCAAGGTGGAACCTGCGAACAACTTCAATGCCTCAGGCGTAAGGTGGACTAATTCTGGAAACACCATAGCTGAAATTCCTTCACTTATGATCAGTGATGTCCATCCTTGGACTAGGTCCTGTACCTCCAACCTTGACAGAATCCAACAAAAAGCATCACATTGTGTCACAAAAAGGAGAGGATGGATGCATACCCTCTAGCATTGCAAAGTGAATCAATTTCATCAATGAATATTGTGCTGGGAGCATACGCACGAGCGAGGTCAAACAAGCACCGAACCATACGTTCACTTTCTCCACGCCATTTTGAAGCCAATGTGGCGGAAGAAACATTGAAAAATGTGGTCCCACACTCGGTTGCAACAGCTTTTGCTAAAAGAGTCTTCCCCGTACCAGGTGGACCGAACATAAGAACGCCTTTCCATGGTCTCCTTATTCCCTGTCAAGATACATGTCATCACAGTAGTTTTTTCTTCAGCACTCTGATGAATCATTAAGGTTGAGGAAATATATTTTAAGATAAATACACACACACAAATTCTCATTTTAACTCTAGATTCATGAAGTTTTCTAGCAAGCAATCAAGTATTAAGGTGCCACTTTAAATATTTGATTTCAATATTTGCACCTATTAATCACACTTAGGCTGTGCTCAGTACGCATAGAATATATAGAGGGGATGTAGGCAATAACAGAAAAGAATAGAAATATGTGAGAAGATAAAAAGGGACTGAGAGGAAATCTTTTAATCCAAGCTATTTATCTTCGTTTCTTTTCCGTATGAACATATTTAGGTGTGGGCCCACAAGATGCCCCCTAACAACCCATAGATATTTTGGAACATGTGATTTCTCTCTTCTTCATTTCTTTTCCAATCTACTCCCCTCTACCGACCACACCATTAGATTAAGTAAGCGACATTTAAAAGTTTTATTATTTTCTGGAATTGGTACCTGAAAGTATTCAGGCATCCATAGTGGGAGAACCACAGCCTCCTCTAGAAGTCTTTTTGCCTCGCTTAACCCCGCAACATCATCCCATCTCACACCAGGGCTTGTTTCCAAAACATCTCTCTCGAGCATAGCTGCCAAGTCTGGATCAGGGCCCTCATATTCCACTTTTTTAGCCTTCCCATCTTCTCCGTCACCATTCTGTTATAATCGCAGTACATAAAAGTCTAGAAACATGTTTCGTTGACAGGAGTAGTTTTCCCTTTCCTGGTTGCGTTATGGTAGAAGAACTGTGGGAGTTCTTCCATTTGGTATGCTAGAAATGGCTTTTGCAAAAAAAAAAACTTTCCTTCCATGTGCAGAAAAAACATTCTCCTTTAATCTATGGTATTCTTTTTTCCCGGATCAATTCGAAACAAAAAATGGAGATGCTTGGATCAATATGCCCTCATAAAGTATGCCTACTTACTAGAGAGAAACAAGGGAATATTTGTTCCCAACAATTTCATTCCCATCAACAAAACAATGAACTTTCTTTTCCCTACTTACTCACCATGTGCTCTTCCCCAAATAATTAGCATTCCTTTCCCTAAATAGTCTCTCTTGGAAACCAAATGAGCTGTTAATACTTAAAAGAAGACCATATTATATTCCATCTCAACTAACACCTCCTTTTAGAGAATCCATGACTAGTAAACCACGCCTAAACTGATAGCACAAATAAATCAATAGAACAAGTAAAATTAAAATTGAAATTTTTGTTTCTTTCTTGGGGCCTTTCAATCGATTAACTAAGACATCAGAAGACATGCAGTGCAAACTCTTGGCAATGAAATTGTTGAATTATATAATGGAGCAAAATTGAAAAATAACTCACGGGCGATTCAACTTTTGCGGACTTTGCATTTCCTTTCTTTCCTGTAGTTGATGCTCGAGTTATAGAGTTAGTCTTAACAGAACCACCACCAGGCTTCCCCCCTCGGCCAGAGGTTCTGGTAGGAGTGGTAGAACTGCGAGCCCAAGCACTGTCTTGAGGGGACTTTTTCATACCTGGTAAAGTATAAAGTAGTAATTATAGATATAAAGCAATCTGGTATTGATGCATTTTGGGTTCGGACATGCCAGTGCCACAGGAGGGGCCCACTAGCTGTGTCAGGTGTAGAAAAGTTGATAGGCTTTCAATACGACAGCCAGTTCAATTTTATAATAAAGTTTACCAAAGGAGGGGTAGAAAGGTAGTTAGTAATAACTAACTAATCTGTTAGTCATATTGTTCCCTGCGTGGACAAACTACTATAAATAGAAGTTGGTAAACTAGAAAGGGAGGTTGTTATTCGGTTGGACTGAGAACTGGGAGATTGGGGCTTCTCGAACAGTCCTATGCTTGTATTCATTCTGTAATCCTTCCTACATCAATAAATCTTCTATTGATCTTGTTTCTTGATAATTGCTTGTGATTTTACTGTGTTCTGAATCGGATTTACCAGTCTTCTATCATTGGTATAAGAGCATCACGTTTCTGGTAACCGTAGCAGTGATCGAAAAAAAATTACGCAGTTCCAGAAAATTTCTCGTTTCAAGCTGTGAATGGTTAGAACGAGAGGAAAAATGGAGAACCGAGTGGAATCGCTGGAGCGAAATTATCAGGAGGTGAAAACTACGTTGGATAACATCGCAGTGACCATGGCGGCGATGAATGAACAACTTCATAGCAGAGGAAGATCGCGAACACCTCAGCAACCTCATACGCGAACTTCGAACAGTCCGGTCGCTTTCAGAGGTAATTCCGTTCACTCAAATGTTCACAATCATTGATGTAGTGATGAACATAATAGAATACCTGTACATTCTGGTAGAAAGGTAGATTTACCTCTGTTTAATGGCGAGGGAGCATATAACTGAATTATGCGAATGAAGAGGTGTTTTCGGTTGAATCATATTGAAGATGAAGAGATGGTTGAGGCTTCTATGGTTGCTATGGAAGATAGGGCTTTGAATTGGTTTCATTTGTGGGAGAATCAGACTGTAGAAACTAATTGGGAAACTCTGAAGAAATCTATCATTCGTAGATTTCAACCTGAGTTGATTCAAAATCCTTACGGACCTATGCTAAGCTTGAAACAAGCTGGAACAGTGAAGGACTATAGAGAAGAGTTTGAAATGGTGATAGCACCGCAGCAGAATATGGACAGAGAATTGTTGAGAGGAATTTTCATTACAGGTTTGAAGGATGAAATTAAATCTGAGTTGAAATTGTATGCTTCAAGATCTTTATCTGAGGTTATGGATAAGGCTATACTTATTGAGCAGAAGAATGATGCAATATATTTGAAGAGAAAAGAGGAAGACAAGTTAATTGGGAGGGAAAGAGGGCATGTACCATTGAAAGCTCAGACTTGGGGAGAAGGGTACACGGCCATATCTGGCAATTCCTGGTCAACTCAGAGTAAAAGTGTGGCAGAAAACAAGAATAACAATTCTTGGTTTGACAAGGCAGGCAAGAAAGTTACTGAAATTCATCCTTCTGGAATCAGAAGGGTAGGACCTCAGTTATCTCAAGAAGAATTTCAGGAAAGAAGCAGGAAGGGACTATGCTTTAAATGTGGTGATAAATGGAGCAAAGAACACACATGCAAGCTGAAGAATTATAAATTGATGTTAGTAGAAGACTCAGATGGTGAAGAAGGTTCAGAAAAGGAAGACCATATAACTACAGAAAAGGAGAGTGAAGAAGGCATGGAGTCCAAATCCATGCAGCTATCCCTCATAAGCAGGGAAGGGATACCTACTATGAGAGCTTTCATGGTGAAAGGAAGTTTGGAATGGGATAAAGGAGATAAGCAAGTAGAGGTGCTTATTGATAGTGGAGCCACACACAATTTCATTTCCCAGAAGCTGGTAGAACAATTGGAGTTACCTTTTAACACCATATCTGGATACAAAGTACAGATTGGAAATGGGGAAAAGATAGCTAATAATGGGAGGTGTGAGGAGTTGATCTTGAGCCTGCAAGGTACTGATATCACACAGAACTTTTACATCCCCAGTCTGGGAGGGACTGATGTGGTATTAGGAATGGAATGGCTGACTAGCCTTGGAGATGTAGAAGTTAATTTCCAAAAACAGACCATCAAATGGAATAAACAAGGGCTCAACCATTCCATCCATGGAGATCCCAAATTAAACTCAATGGAGGTTTCACTGAAGACCTTATCACAAATTATACAAGATAATGGAGATGGATATCTTGTATACTGTGAAGGGAGTTTAATAGAAAAGGAAAAGGAGGATAAAAGGGAAACCATCTGGGAAAAGATTCTGGCAGAATTTCATGAAGTTTCACAACCATTAGAAGGGTTACCTCCTAGTAGACAGTGTGATCATTCCATTAATATTCAAGAGGGGGCTAACATTCCCAATATCCGACACCTTACAGATACCCTCAATATCAGAAGACTGAAATTGAGAAGATCATAAAGGATATGTTAAATTCTGGGATCATTCAGCACACTAACAGCCCATACAGCAGCCCAATACTATTAACCAAAAAGAAAGATGGAGGTTGGAGGTTTTGTGGTGATTATAGGGCATTAAATAAAATAACCATACCAAACAAATTTCCAATCCCTATAATTGAAGAGCTTCTGGATGAGCTTGGGGAAGCCAGAATATTCTCTAAGCTAGATCTGAAATCTGGTTACCACCAGATTAGAATGAAAGAAGAAGACAGAAAGAAGACAGCATTTAGAACACGTGAGGGGCACTACGAATACTTGGTGATGCCCTTTGGGTTGACGAATGCTACCTCCACTTTCCAAGCCCTAATGAATCAAGTATTAAGGCCTTTCTTGAGAAAGTTTGCTTTGGTTTTTTTGATGATATTTTGGTCTATAGCAAATCTAAAGAGGAACATCAAGAACATTTAAGGGCAGTTTTATCTGCTTTAAAGGATAACCAGTTGGTGGTAAACCTTAAAAATGTTCCTTTGGACAACCTCAGTTGGTCTATTTGGGACACATTATACCTGGAGAAGGAGTTTCAGCTGATCCCACCAAGATAGAAGCATGGTTAGCTGGCCAGAACCCAAAGATTTGAAGGAATTAAGGGGTTTTCTGGGGCTAACTGGGTACTATAGAAGATTTGTGAAAGGGTATAGTAGAAATGCACTACCCCTTACACAACTTCTAAGAAAAGACAGTTTTAAGTGGGATATGAAGGCTACACAGGCTTTTGAAGAATTGAAAAGAACTATGAATTCCCTACCAGTTTTAGCAACCCCAAACTTCAATAAACCCTTCATTATTGAAACCGATGCATCTGGGACAGGTCTGGGGGCAGTCCTAATTCAAGAAGGGAGGCCACTAGCTTTCATGAGCAAAGAATTATCCAAGAGGAATAAAAACAGATCGGTGTAAGAAAGGGAACTCATGGCTATTGTGTTAGCAGTTCAAAAATGGAGACCTTATTTGTTGGGTAGAACTTTTGAGGTTCACGCTGACCAAAAAAGTCACTATTGATGGGTGAGGAACAACAGAAATGGACTTCTAAACTTCTGGGCTATAATTTCACTATAAAATATAAACCTGGAGCAGAAAACAGAGCTGCAGATGCTCTTTCCAGAAGACCACAGCTACAATCCTTGTCTATTGTGACTTGTCAAGAGTGGGAAGGATTAAAAGAAGAATTGAATTCAGATCCTACATGCAAGGACTTAATTCAGAAGGTGATTTCACAGCCAGACAAAAATTCTGAATTCCTGATTATTATAGGGCTTCTATAATATAACAAGAAGCTGGTTCTACCAAAAGGATCTCCTAGAGTAATCAAGATATTGAAGGAATATCATGATTCTGCTGTTGGATGGCATTCAGGTTACTTTAGAACCATGAAGAGGATATCAAATTTATTTTTCTGGCAAGGTATGAGAAAGGATATTAAAAAGTTTGTGGAAGAATGTGTTTTATGTCAAACAAACAAATATCAAGCTCTCAAACCTGCAGGCTTATTACAGCCTTTACCTGTTCCTAGTAGCATTTGGACTGACATAAGTATGGATTTCATAGGTGGTCTACCTAAATCTCAAGGAAAAGACACTATTTTGGTTGTTGTTGACAGATTGACCAAGTATGCTCACTTCTTGGCTCTTTCCCATCCTTTTAATGCCAAGGAAGTAGCAAAATTATTCATCAAGGAGGTGGTTAAACTACATGGTTTCCCCAAAACCATTGTAAGAAACAGAGACAGTGTGTTTCTAAGTGCATTTTGGTCAGAACTTTTAAAATGGCTGGGACTCAGTTGAAATATAGTACAGCATACCACCCACAGACCGATGGACAGACTGAGGTGGTAAACAGATGCTTGGAAACATATTTGAGATGTTTGACAGGGAGAAAACCTAAGCAGTGGCTTAATTGGTTGCATTTGGCTGAGTTTTGGTATAACACCAATTATCATACATCATTGAAATTGACACCTTATAAAGCTCTATTTGGACAAGACCCTCCTGCAGTGATTAGGGGAGATGTAACTATCATTGTTGTGGAGGAAGTATCCAAATTAACGGCCCAGAGGAATATGATGCTAGATGAATTAAAAGACAATTTGGCAAGAGCCCAAAATCAGATGAAGCAAAAAGCTAACAAGCATAGGAGGGATGTTCAACTGGAAATGGGAGATAAAGTTTACTTGAAGATACAACCTTAGAGGATAAACCAGAAATTAGGTCCAAGATACTATGGCCCCTTTGAGATAGTTGGCAAACTCAGTTCTGTAGCTTTCAAACTTAAGCTGCCAGATGACATTGTAAAATACACCCTGTATTTCATGTCTCTTTGCTTAAAAAGGCTATATCACCAACTACTTATTATCAGCCTCTACCCAAATGCTTGAATGAAGAATTGGAGTTGCAAGTGGTTCCTGAAGATATTTTAGATACAAGAGTTGATAAGGAAGGGAACCTGGAAGTGCTAATACAACAACATCCAAGCCTTAGTCCCAAAAGATATTGGGGTCGGCTAACATGAATCGATACATGATATCACAACCAAAACGAAAAGAAAGAAAATAAAGATAAAAAAGATAAGCTATTATAAAAAGATAATACAAAAAGAGATGAATATACATAAAAATGATAAAATAAAAAGGCTACAAATAATGTTTATATATATAATGATAAAAAACAAGGAAAAAAAAGATGAGGGAAAAAGATTATACGAGATCACTCCTTCACGCGAATATCCGTCCTCCACTTAATTCTCTCCAAAGTCATGCCCTCATCCAACCCCAGAAGAAGCATATCACTTCGAACTCCCCTAACCCACGTCTGTTTGGGTGCTAATACACTGGAAAAATTAAAGAGCAATTCACTGGGAAGTGCTAATACACTGGAAAAATTTGTCAAGCTTTGAGGACTCTTGGGAATCTCTGCTGATGATTAAAGAACAATTCCCAGAACTTCACCTTGACGACAAGGTGAATTTTCAGGGGGGGGGGGGGTATTGATAGGCTTTCAATACGACAGCCAGTTCAATTTTATAATAAAGTTTACCAAAGGAGGGGTAGAAAGGTAGTTAGTAATAACTAACTAATCTGTTAGTCATATTGTTTCCTGCGTGGACAAACTACTATAAATAGAAGTTGGTAAACTAGAAAGGGAGGTTGTTATTCGGTTGGACTGAGAACTGGGAGATTGGGGCTTCTCGAACAGTCCTATGCTTGTATTCATTCTGTAATCCTTCCTACATCAATAAATCTCCTATTGATCTTGTTTCTTGATAATTGCTTGTGATTTGTCTGTGTTCTGAATCGGATTTACCAGTGTTCTATTATTTAGTTTCCTTGGGAGCCTAATACAAGTGGCTGAACTGAGTTTATTTAGTTTCCTATTATTATCACATTATTACTAGTCCCTCTTATTAGTATTCGTATTATGTTGTCATTTCCTGTTATTACTGATGATTCCTTATTCAGTTTAAGGCTGCTTCTTATTAGCCTTTAATTTTATGTTTCTATCTTATTACGATTAGGGCTCTTGTAATAGTTATATAAGATGCCTTAGTATAGGTTAATAAACTACTTTTGGAAGAATTAAGTCTAGTGTGTGTAATAACAGGAAATGACCTACAAGGTCAGGCACCGGATTAATTCCAACATATGTTTTAAAATTCTATCCGGTCTCAAAGTCATAGACTCAAAGGATCTGACCACCCAGCTTGTCCTTGGAAGAGACTGTGCACAACATAATCCTAGTTTCAGTAGTACTATATGACTTCCTATTCTCTTGGGGTCTTTCATTTCTACTGGGTCTAGATTCTAGAATCTAGGGCTGGGACTTTGGAACCACGAACCGGAGAACCGAACCAGACCGAACCGTTATGACTCGGTTCAGTTCGGTGCGGTTCCAACATTTATTAGTTACTTGTTAATGGTTCGGTTCCTATTTCTTGTTGACGGTTTGGTCCTTGGTTCCTGGAGAAAAATATGTACCTGGAACCATTCAAGAAACCATTATATATAATAATTAAAATTTTATATATTTCTTATTAGCATATATATTTTAATGTATATTTACTTATTTATTTTTTTATTACACTAACTATTTTAGTTTATATAATAATTATTATTTTTTAACGGGTTCCTCTAATCCTTTTAGGCCTCTTATTAGAGGCCTAGATGGTCGGAATTGAATGCTCCGCTCGTGACCCTTGAAATGAATGAACTTTTTTGCTGATTCAAGATCATAATTATTAATTGTAGTGAATATGTTGTTTTGTTTTAGGGAGAACTATCAAATAAGCCCTCGAACTTTCATAAAAAGTGCAAATAAGCCCTTTTATGGGGGCTCTGTCAGGCCATCGCCATTTGGGGCGGTTTCCGGTGGCATATTTTGATGAAATGTTTTGAGTATCTTCTTCATTAATTTTAGTTTATTCATACCAAATTTCGGCTAAAAATTCAATCGGGAAGGCAGTCAAATGAATTTTTGAAGATAACTGCGCAGTTAGACAGCGCAATATATTTCAGAAAATCATTTGACTGCCTTCTCGATTGAATTTGTAGCTGAAATTTGGTATGGATAAACTACACTTAATGAAGAAGATGCTCAAAAAATTCCACCAGAAACCGCCCCAAATGGCGAAAGCCGGACAAAGTCTCTTGTTAAAGGGCTTATTTGCACTTTATATGAAAGTTCGAGGGCTTATTTGATAGTTCTCCCTTTGTTTTATTTACAAAAATAATCAGTTTGGTATGTATTTATGTTTTAAATTCAACTTTTGAGGTTTGAAATGATGGTAAACATATTTGTATTTCTTGTAATTTCAAACGTTGAAGGTTTTTTTTGGCAAAAATTTAATGGTGATTTGTAAGATTTTTTTTAAAAACTAAGAACCGTTAAATGACAAGAATTGAACCGTTAAGAATGGTTTGATTCCATATCGGTTTTATAACAAATTTATAAGAACCGAACCGTTATTGATATTTGATATTTTTCAAACGGTTCCATATATTTTGCCTAGGAACCGAACCGGTCCTAGGCCTACTAGAATCCATTATTTTTCTATTCAAGTGTTGTAATAGTCTTTAGAAGTTATGCAAGTGTGAGTTAAAAGTCATATCGATAAAAGTTAAAGTGGGAAAAGGGTCAAATAGGCCCTCGAACTAACTTAAAAAGTGCAAATCACTCTTTATATAGGAGACTCTGTCCGGCCGTCGCCATTTGGGGTGATTTCCGATGGAAATTTTTGATAAAATTTTGTGAGCATCTTCTTCATTAAGTCTAGTTTACTCATACTAAATTTCAGCTAAAAATTCAATCGGGAAGACAGTTAAATGAATTTTTGAAGATAACTGCGCACTTAAACAGCGCAGTACATTTCAGAAAATCATTTGACTGTCTTCCCGGTTGACTTTTTATCTGAAATTTGGTATGGGTAAACTAGACTTGATGAAGAAGATGTTCAAAAAATTTCATCAAAAAATTCCACCGGGAACCACCCCAAATGACGACAGCCGTACAGAGCCTCCTATATAAGGGGTGATTTGTACTTTTTAAGTTAGTTCGAAGGCCTATTTGACCCTTTTCCCAAGTTAAAGTTTATGATTCATCACCAGATTGACCTGCTCTTGAAGCTCTTCTAGTTGTAGTGTCTCGATTTGGTGGGGGTCTCCAGACATCGGGATCATCCATTGGAGCACAGGGTGGAGTAGGGAAATCATCCAGTGGCTGGAAGACAAACGAAGATGATGTTGATGATGACTTAGTCGAGATTGGAGGGGAAAAGGGGCGTCTACCAACAGGAACCTCTTTGAAAGACCTCTTCTCGACATCCAGCTGTTTCACCACCTCTGTTTCTTCAGAAATTGCTTTCTTTACATTTATCCACTTCGAACGAAGCAAAGGGTCATCAATTGTATTAACATGCCTGAAGTTCAAGCATCCAACCAAACATGCCAAATTATGAAATTAACAAGAGGATTTACTTTCGTCTTGAGTCCTCCAAATCAGCAATCAAGCAAATCAAACATCAAAGAATATTTGTTTTTTGCTCAGACTGCCTAATGAGAAAGAAAACCTTCCTACGCAACTCACAGAATTTTAGCTTATATAATGCATACATAGCATATATCATATCAACGACAAAGAGACAGAATTTATACTTATTTTGTCATTCAGAACAATCTGCACACTGTTTTAATGCCCTTTATGGCTTTATCCCCATTAGTACTGAAGGTCCAGCTTATTTCTAGAATTTAATAAGAATGCAGCTATGGCTTTTAATTAAAAGTAGTAAACTGTGTGGAGTCTAAATTTGGAATTCCTCTGTATTGTGATAAATCCGCCACTCAAGCAGCTTAGTTCTTCAGTTTCCTACAGGACCACACAAAGCCTCTTTTTTCTAAATGCATTGCACGCATATAACAGCTCAATTCTACAATTTCCTAATACACAAGAAATGAATTAAAGCAATTTGAAAATGAAAATTTTCAATTAGTTCAAATAATCAACTTATACAATCACCATATTCAAATGAACATAAATGCACAGAAACAGATGGGAACAGAAAGAGATAATACTTATTGATTTGAGCAACAGCGCCGTCGAAGAAGATTATGGCCGTATCGTATAGGCCTTCGAAAGCATATTCTCTAGCCAGTTTCAAATGATCTTGTAATCCAGCTAAGGATGATCCCACCATGACGCCACAACTCAACCTTTCCGACCAAAGCTGCCAAATCACGAAAAATTGTAGTAGAAAGAAAACCAATCTTTATCTTTTGTAGCTCAATGGCTCACTGAATTAGAGAAGAAGGAGAAGAGCAGACTCTTGCAGTGAAGAAAATGAAATGGGAATTATATCC